AAAATTAAAATAAAGGGAGTTGACATTTAAGCTTTGCCAAATGGCAACTAAGTGCTCTTAAATAGATGACTTTTTAATTAAATCTGGATGGCAAATATCTCACACTTTACTGAATAGCAACACACTGGCATGGAAGATAAAAATGTTTTATTTTGAGCACTGGCAAAAACTTTAAATCTTTACAGCCAGAAGTCATAGGAAGTCAAGTCCAGAGAAAGAAGAGGTTAGATATTCCGTAAACAATCTCGAAATTATCCTATTATGTCTGAACTAAGTTCTTTAGCTTGTTGACTAAGACATCTAGCGATTTTAAACTGCATTACTTATTTTTGAGGAAGATAGTTACATTTCTTAGTGAGTGGCAACAAAATAAATATATTTTTAAAGACTTTGAACTATACTAGGAAGTGAAAGGGAAAGCTGTAAATTGATAAAATGGTTTCCGATGTGATCTATGATTTTGCAAGAAAAATAATGATAATACTATTTATTTCCTTTTAATGGAAAAATTTATTATATGTTATGATTTAAAGCATGAACTTTCTGTTATTTGAAAGACTGATCAGTATATTTAAATTTTTACAATTATTAGGAAAAGTTCTATATTTTCCCTGATTTTTGAAGCAAGCTTGTTGATTTCCCCAGACAATTTTTTAATTCTCTGATATTTCAAGACTTTCCAGGATTTCCTAGCTGAGTGAGGGATCTTTTTACATTCTAATATCCAATTTAATTTAAAACACCACTACCTTAAGGGTTGTAATGGTGCTTAAGTTTCTAACTTTCATGTATTCTACAAGGGGTGATCAAATGAAAAGGTACGAAACGACGTAAAAACGTAACAGTTAAATATTTGCATATTCCGCCATGGGAGAACATAGTGAGACATCTCGGGATGCGATTAGAGTCTCTGACTGAGATCGGAGCATGCGCAAGAGAGAGTACAGGCTCTTATCAAAAGTGGCGTCCAAATGATGCGGCAGTCCGTATGAGGACAGGATGGCGATCGCGTTGCAGAATTCAACGACTGAGGAGCAGCAAGGTGTTATCCGATTTCTGACAACGGAAGGAGAAACCGGCAGCTATTCATCGCCATATGGTGACAGTTTACGGGGAGAAATGTGTCTCTGACAAGTCTGTCAGAAAATAGAGTGTCCGTTTTTGTGCAGGCCGTGAGAGTGTGGGTGATGACCCGAGACCAGGCCAGGCCAAACATGTCACAAGAGGATCTCATTGGCAAGGTGCACGACCATTAGGGAAGTGATGTCAGCTAGATCGTTCACGACAAATGTGGAAATGTGGCGGATGTCACCTTATGTTGCCTGGGTTCCGGCAGTCCACGAACAGCAAAAGGAACCATATTGGGCAGCATTGCAACATCTGTTTCGGTATCAGGAAGACCCCGATTTCATGGAGCGGATCGTCACAGGTGATGAGACCTGGTGCCATCACTACGAGCCAAAGCGGAACAGCATGCAGAAGCATGTGTCGTCACCTCTCCCTAAAATGTTCAAAGCCGTGCCGTCAGCAGGCAAGGTGTTGCTTACCGTCTTTTTCGACGTTCAAGGTCCGCTACTTGTGGATTTCCTCGAGCACAGAAAAACCATTAACTTTGATGTGTACTGTGAGACACTCCGATGCCTACGCAGGTCCATCAAGAACAAAAGACCGGGGATGCTCATGGAGGGTGTGGTTCTGCTCCATGATAACGTGCATCCACATGTCTCCAGAGTCACACACATGGAACTGGCTAAGTTCAAGTGGGAGACATTGGGCCATCCGCCCTACAGCCCAGATATGTCGCCCTGTGATTTCCATGTGTTTGGTCCACTGAAAAAACACCTGAAAGGGAAGCACTTCAACTCAGACAACATACTCAAGGACGCTGTGAAGGACTGGGTCTCGTCACGGCTACAGGAATTCTGGGAACAAGGAATCCTGCGGCTTGTTCATCAGTGGGATCGTTGTGCTCAGGCCTATGGTGTATATTTTTATACATATAAAGTCTACATTTGTACCCACCGTGTTGTTCCGTACCTTTTCATTTGATCACCCCTTGTATTTGACACAAGCAGTATTATGTTTTCATGTATTCTATTTGACATAATTATATTACTTGTATTTTATCTTTGTATTAAAAGAAAAAGTGCAAAACATATTAGAAGTATTAAAAATCTTACCCCCAGCTTCTTCTGTAGAATTATTTGCATTAAAAAGAAAGTGGAGTTCGAGCAGCAGCAAAAATATTTTTGTTGATGACAGTTTAGCTAAGGATTTAAAACTGGAATTAGTAGCTAAATCTGCAAATGTAACACTTTTCACAGATGCTGCAAACAATTCTGAATTTTCACTTTGTGGCGTACTATGAGCTGTACATAGCTTTAAGACACTTGCAGCAAGCTGTAAGTTCTATACCTCTGTACTGACTCTGTACTGTAAGTTCTGTAAATTTAGAAGCTGAAGTCTTTTCAACATCATCATAAATATCTATTATTCAAGGAGGGAAAAAATAATGAGATTGTAGATATAAAAGTAAACTCACACACACATATATATATATACAGTCAAAAGTCGTTAATCCGGACTCGTCGGGACTTCGGCAATTACGGATTATCGATTTTTCCGGATTATAGATCATCAGTTCAAATCTGGTAAGATGGCATGCAGAAATTATAAAATTAAAATTATGAAACCGTAATTTATGAAATAAAGAACAATTATGATCTAAAAAGTATCAAAATTTACAAAAAAAAAAAAAAAAAAAAAAAAAGCTTAATATTTATTTGTTTACTTTATTAAACATTTCTTTCAATGTAAGTTGTTTAAGTTGCTTCGTTTTATGTGATAATACATCTCTTTAATTCTATAAACAGACATAATTTCTTCTTCAGTTACAAAGTTTCGCTGTTCAAATCCTATAACTGTTGTGTCGAGAATACCGACTAATTTCTCAACCGAAATTTTTTCGTTTTCAAGAACCTCTGTGTCACTATCAGAAGCGAATTATAATGACAGCGAATACGATTTAAATCATATCAAAGACGGAGTACATCGAGATGAAATACTACATTTACTAAGGAATTATAAGCCAAATAAAATAAAAACATCTGCCGTGAAGATAAGGATTAGTGCTGACAGATCAACTTCCAATTCATTGCGCGCCGCGGCATTCCCCCCCCCTTTAAAAATTATTACCCATTATACAATAGCGTTCTCCCCAAAAAAAAAATTCCAAAAGCTACATTGCTGATTTTGTAGCAAGTTCATAATTCTCAAATTTTATATCAGATATTGTACTCTTTTCTGCATACACAATCGTATTGTAAACATATCCTAACTCTCCTTCAGCAAGTACAGATAGTTTTTTCCCCAAAGTGAGCTTTTTTCAAAAGTATATATTGTACCTTTAAATTACTTGAGATTTTCATCACTGCTTAGATCCCTTTTCAGTGTATAAACATTTGAATATTTCTTCGTTAAGACAGAAAAAAAATAGGTTATATTTTTTAAGCTTGTGAGGTTTTCCTTACTTTGCATAACATATTTATTCTAAATTTGATTTCCTGTTCTAAACTTCTCAACTTCCCCTCACATTCTCTCGCCAGGGTGTAAATTTAAAGTTAAGTGAAGTGCTGTTTAAACATGCGAATATCTCAGTTTATTCAGAACAATTTCACGCTGCTCTTGATAAACAGATTTCGGAATGGTTAGGGAAACAAAGGATATGCCTTTATCCATTTTTTGCTGCAATTCCACTTTTTGTTTAATGGACTTCGAAACATATTTTCGCTTTGTGGATCCTTTACATATTGGTAAATATATATCGGAAATTCTATTTGACATAATCTAAAGTTCAAGCTTACTTTTATAAAATTGCTCTAACATTCTTCAAAAAATAATAAGCCGGATCCAATTCGAAGATTAAGGAACAAAGCAATCTGCAACATTAACTGAATTAGATAATTTTAGCTTAGCTTATACCGTCCGTTATACATTAGACGCGCATGCGTAAACGTATTATGCGCACACGCCTATTCGTAGCCGTAAAGGTCTTACATGCATGCTTAAACGCCTATGCGCATGCGTCAATGAGACGCACGCGCAGAGAGTTTGTAGCTTTGAGGTCCAGATTATGGGTGTCTAAATTAACGACTTTTGACTGTATACACATTTTGGTTGATTTTGGCCGCCTGCTAAAAGATTCCTGACGCCTGATCCTCATGCCCCTTAAACCATTAAACATTCACTCAGCATTTTCTAAATACAAAATGACTCAAGAACAATGGTGTAACAACTGATATGAGAAACACTAACTAGCAAGCCAGAGATACTCGAGTAATACTAGAAATGCAGATTTCAGAGAATTCTTGATTGAAACAAAATACATAAATCTCTTCAGTAAAATGCTGTGTTTTAATTCCTATGAAAAGAAATCATACAAGGACATTTAATATTTTATAAATGTAGCAATTAAACTATAATAATTAAATTTGCAGCCAACATTTTAGTTTAAATTTGGTCAGAATTTAATTTTATTGGTGAAAAACATTTCCATTAATAAAGGCTAAAAATTAAATGGAGGATTTGGCAGCTATGTCATCTCCTTATATTAGCATTATCTACAGCCATTAGCATACTTCTAAAAGTCAAAAGGACACTTTTAGTCACAAAAATGTTGTTTTTAGCCATAGTTGCACAGAGAACAAAAATAAAAACAGATAAAAACAAAGTCTTGCATAGAACCATGAGCACGTTGACACAGAGATAAGAAATCATATACAACTAGAAGTTTCCTTAATTTGGACTCCTCAATGCAATTTAACAAAGTACACAAAGAACACAGGCTCAATACAAGCAATGAAAGGCTAAGTATGATATTCTTATTTAGACAGAAACAAGCAGAACTTTAACACTTAATTTATGAATAAAGAAAGTTAAAAAAAAATCAAAATAATTTTAACTTAAAAAAATTTTTAATACACTGACACATAAAATTTTAATCAATCAACCATTACATGAAAAATTAATTCTGGTTTAATATTAATCAAGTATTATAAAACTTGCCAAATTCAAATTTAAAGCCATGATCTCCAAAAATTGATTTCGAGCCGTCAGTACTAAAAATTCAGATTCTGACCAAACATTGAATTTGTTCCGAGTTTAACAGACTGGAAAAATGAAGATATTGAAGAAGACTTTAGTTTCTGTCGTAATTAAAAAATTTGCCAAATTTCCAAATATTGATTTACCCTGTAAATTTGTTCCAAAACACGCTGATAAAGATTCAGCACCGAATGGAAATTAGTTTCTGAATGGAATCTGTTTTATATGAAGAGTCACTTCCAAATGAAAAGTTTGCCACAACTTTTGTGGCTGTAGAAGTCTGTTCACTAGAAACATCTTATTCATTTGCTAATGAGTTCATTTTTAGTGCATATTAATCAAGTTTATTAATCAAATTATAATATTAATCAAGTCTTACGAAACACAAAACTTACCAAGTCCAAATTTAAGACCATGACCTCCAAAAATTGATTTCGAGCTGTTAGTACTAAAATTCACATTCTGGCCAAACACTGAATTTGTGCCAAGTTTATCAGTCTGGAAAAATGGAGACACTGATGAAGAGGGCTTAGTTTCGGTTGTACCTAAAACATTTGCCGAATTTCCAAATAATGATTTACCCTGCAAAGTTGTTCCAAAACATGCTGACAGAGATCCAGCATTAAATGGAGGTTCTGTTTTAACTGAAGAGTCACTTTTAAATGAAAAGTTTGTCACAACTTTAGTGGTTGTACAAGCCTGTTCACTAGACACTTCCGATTCACCTGCCAATGCATTCAATTTCAATGCATCATCTATAGCGTCCTTAAACTGTTGTGCCAATTCACTAGTTTTAAACCGAATAGCAAACAATTCAGGTGATGCTTCATTTTCAGAAAAGTCTATAGCAGTCCAAGTCAAAGATTTGTTACCTCGCCATTCTAATACAATTTCTTTGTTTAGAAGATGATTTAAGCACACTTTCAGAACCTTGGGATAAAAAGGAAAATATACAGAATTATAAATGAATGAATAATTAAAAAATAATACTGACATACAGCATTAAATTAAACTTCTATTTTTTCCCACTAAACATAAACCTAGCAGCATATTAAAACAATTTAAGGAACTACTCTGATATGCGCTCTCAAGGTGCCAAATTTCTCGCCAAATATTTTTGGCGAGAAACTCCACCCTGCCATATTGCTATCTAAATTTTTTTTGTCTACATTTCGAACTTTAAGCCTAAAATGTCTCCAAAAACACGGTTTTCGCGAATGCAAAAACCACGTTTTGAACACACAATTTAAGCTAAAAATACGAAACAAAAACAAAAAATTTAGATAGCAAAACCATGAAGTTTCTAGCCAAAAATTATTTTACAAGGGTCCATGTACACAGCAATATGTTTTAATTTTAAAAAAAAAAAAAAAAAAACATCTACGAATGGCACTATCTAGGCAACGAACGAATTTACGAACTATGCACACCTCGCTTTAATAAATTAACATAACAATAAATTTCAAAGAATACCATGTACACAGCATCCTGTTTCAACTTAAAAAAACATCTACGAATTGCACAATTTAGGCAACAACGAATTTACGAACTACGCGCACCTCACTTAATAAATTAAATAACAAAATAAATTTCAAAGAACACCATGTACACAGCGTTCTGTTTCAATTTAAAAACATCTACGAATTGCACAATTCAGATGGTACGCACTAATCAAAAAATAACTAAAATAAATTTCAAACAATTCAAAAAAACAACAATAACGACAGAAATTCATACTAAAAAAAACAATGAACATTACATTCTACAAAATAAGAACAAGAATAAATAAAATGCACTTACCATTGATGCTTTTTCGAAGAGCAGATATACCAATTTCATACCGCCTTTAACATGCCGCCACGTAATCACTAGTATCGGTATTATATGGACAGCCAGACACACTATCCAGAAAAATTCATACTATGGTTCACAAATAAATAAAATAAAAAATAATCACAAATCCCTACTTCTATCACGCACAACCACTAAAAATAATCTCCCATACCTTCTTTCCACACCTCCAAATACCCATTGCCCCTCAACAGGATGACCACGACGATATTTCCTTATGCCGAACTTCAATTCAACAACTTTCACCATTAAATCTTTCCCCCCTAGCTTCTCAGACACAAAGCATGACGGGAACCAACGAACTCCAGCGAAAGACTTTTCAACGTCAACAGGGTTGCCATACAACACGCAATCGCGCCAAAAACCAATGCAGAACACATATCGCCACATTTGGTGAAATTAGGGCGTATATCAGAGTTGTACCCAATTTAATAAACTGCAAAGTATCATTAATTAACATTATTTTCTGCTAATGGCAGAGCAAAACTATTTTCTGCTGCTGTCAGAAAGACAGCACTGACTGTAACCGAAGTGGTCAATTAACAAAAAGTTTGAGTTGCTGTAAATATTAATATTAATTTCATATCCTACAATCTAATGTTTATTAAGACTTTATAAAAACTTCTCTGTACTATACATACACATTTATAAAATTTATACATAAATATTTTCTGTAGGAGAAATACTGCATACCTGATCTCTTCTGTACTATACATACACATTTATAAAATTTAAACATAAATATTTTCTGTAGGAGAAATACTGCATACCTGATCTCTTCGCATTAGTAAACGGGCTTTCTTTGAATTTCTACCAAAAAGGACTTTCATATTCCCTATACCTCGTTTCTTCCACTCTCCAGCAAAAAAGCGGAATAACCGTGCTCGTTTGCAAAACATAACTTCTTCATTTTCTTCTCCAGTTTCAACCTATAGAAACAATCATAATTACAGGGGAAAAAACATTTCTAAATACATAAAGAATATCAAATATATCAGGAATAATTTCCCCTTTTTATTTATTATTATTAACACAGTAATGAAATTATATTAATACAGTCAAAAGTTGTTAATTCGGACACCCATAATCTGGAATGATCTATAATCCGGACCTCAAAGCTAAAAACTTTCTGCGCATGCGCCGCATTGACGCATGCGCATGGGCGTTTAAGCGTGCGCGTAAGACCTTTACGACTGTGCATTTGCGTGTGCACGAGCACAGAATACGCTTTCGCTGCGCAATTAATGTATAACGGATGGTATAAGCTAAAATTATCTAATTGTCTATTTCAGTTAATGTTGATGATTGCGTTGTTCCTTAATCTTCGAATTGGATCTGGCTTATTATTTCTTGCAGACTGTAAGAGCAATTTTATAAAAGTAAGCTTGAACTTTCCATTATGTCAAATAAAATTTCCGATGCTGGAGCTCCCAAAGGATCTACGAAAACGAAAGTATGTTTCGATGTCCATCAAACAAAAAGTGGAATTGCTCCAAAAAATGGATAAAGGCATATCCTTTGTTTATCCAACCATTCCGAAATCTGTTTATCAATTTCACGCTGCTCTGCGCGGGGCGTGAGGGGGAACTTGGTGGCGCACAATGAACTGGAAGTTCATTTGTCAACAATATCGTTATCTTCAGGGCAGATGTTTATATTTTATTCGGCTATAATTCCTTATTAAATGTAGTATTTCATCTCGATGTACTTCGTCCTTGATATGATTTAAATCAAATTCCTCGTCATTATAAATATCACGAATACAAATCAAATAGTTTTCTGGTTGCAATTTTTCTAATTTCAGCTATGCATAATGTATGCTCTACGCATGCGCGCGTTGAAAGATATGTTTAATAAAGTAAACAAATAAATATTAAGCTTTTTTTTTTCTAAATTTTGATACCCTTTAGATCATAATTGCTCACTATTTTATAAATTACGGTTTCATATTTTTAATTTTATAATTTCTGCATGCCATCTTACCAGATTTAAACTGATGATCTATAATCCGGAAAAATCGATAATCCGGAATCGCCGAAGTCCTGACGAGTCCGGGTTAAAGACTTTTGACTGTACTCAAAATTTTATTTTTCAAAGTGGCATATGATAAATACAAAATAAAAATATTAAGGAAAAAGTTTGGTAATGATAAGGAAATGGGTACCTTTCTGTTAAAGTCATATCATACCTTTTCGTGCCATATTGGTGCGTTTTGGTGTATTTCTTTCCCCACACCCTTAGCTCAAAGTTAGATGAAGGGGAACAAACTGGAACATAGAAAACTTTCTAATTTTATGACAAAATCTCACTCCCCCCCCAAAAAAAATACCTTTGCAGGGAAAGAACATGGCTTAGGTTATTTATTTATTTATTAATTTCTGTTAACAAGCTTTCATCAATTTACAGAATTCTGATGTGTCTGTGAGTTTTAATCTCAGGGCAAGATAAGCAATTGGTCCATACCTCTTAAGCAATCAGTCCAATAAACCTTTGTATTGCAATTCATTTGAAAACTTTTGATTCAAATCGTTAGTAGAGCAGTACCTTCTTATACGATATGTAAATGGATTGTAAGGCAGTAACCAAAGGAATGCATGATACAACAAATCACACTTTTGTTCCAGCAGTCTTTCTCCCCTCCCTCCCAGCATGACTGTTAATATGTTAAAACAAGAAAAGCATCATGTGGTGTGACTTAAACAAAAAAGGTAACATGAAATGGTCTTTAATAATATTTTCAAGGTATCCTACATTGTTCTTGGGATATGTCCTGCACTGCTCTTTTTTTTTTTTTTTTTTTTTTTTTGTGTGTGTGTGTGTGTGTGTATTTTGGCTCAGAATTAATCTCATAATTTAGACAATTAAAATTATGAAACTATTTAACAATGGATGAGGTATAATTACAAAAGTTACTGAACATTCTAAATTTATTTCTTTCATTATTAAGTAGCTACTATACTTAGAATTCTGCGAATGTATCACAAGATTTTACAATGTCTCGTGTTCTATCCTTACAGAAATGCTACTTAAAAACACGAATGTGTCAAAATGTATCATCAAATGTGATTGATCTTATGATTTAACAGATGCTTAGTTTTTGCAAAGTATTAAATGCTAACAGTAATTTCTAATAAATTTGAGAAAACTTTACAGAATGAATGCATTCCTAAATATTAAGCCCACCAGCAAGAATCAATCAATTTCACTATGATAATTCTCTGGGGGAGAACAGAAAAATGTATGCCAACACTTAAATCGGGAATTCTAAACGTATATGCTGCTTTTCAAATTTTTGTAATTTTGCTGTTGAATTCTATGTGGCATGAGGACAAAGAAAATTATGCTTAATAATAAAGTTAAAAAACGGGATGGTTAAAAGGGGTTAGCAGGAATGAGTGTAACAGCAGACTGGTATACAGTTAGCTAAATAAGAGCATAAATTGCTTTACAAACCCTTTTGAGCGACTGCTAAAATCTGAAACCTTTCAGTTTTTATATTTTTTATTTTATTTATTTATTTATTTTTTATATTAGCACCAAAGCGATAATTAAGTCTTACAATACCACACCATTAAAAAAAGTGTCAAGAACACAAAAGGTTGAATTTACATTGCTTAAGTAATATCTATTATGTAAAAACTAAATTATCAAAGATTATGCAAATAATTAATAATAAAGTAACTTAAATAATTTTATTAAACAATAATTAAAATTAATATAAAGTAAATAAATTTGTAAATAATAAGAACGAATTCATTTACTTAAGCACTGCAAGAGTTTAAACATAATGCTGTATTACTTAAGTAGTTCTTGCACAAGCATTGTAATTTCAAGCCATTCCAAAAAATATAATATAATAATAAATATAATTTAAGCAATTTATCCTTAAGTTCAGATGCATATTTATGAAATATTTTTACACTGCTCGACATTGAAAATGCAACCCCAAGAAGGAGTGGTCAGAAATTTATGCAAATTTTAGAGTAGACGCACATCACTGAGTTATGTGGATGATGTGAAATGTGCAGCTCTCCAACGCACGTGAAGCAAGATATAAAGGAAGGAACGTGCAGAATGGACAATACTTGTGTCATTATATCTGCCAGACGAATTATTGAAGAAAGTTAGTTTTTGTCCCAAAGGATATGTGTAACAGGAGAGAATGCCAGGCCGCTGTCAACGAAAGGCACTTCCAGCAGAAAGACGATTTTACGAGGGGTATGGTGATTGGACTGAGAAGGACGGATTGGTCCTTAAGTCAAATCGCAGCTGATACCCACATGGATGCGAGCACGGTGCATTGGCATGGCGAACATGGTTGGAACAAGGAAATGCGGCAAGAAGGAGGGGTGCAGGCGCAGCCCAACTGATGTCAGCATGCGTGGGTCGACGCATCCGCCGACAAGCTGTGGCAATCCTGCAAGTAACTTGTACCATGCAATTCTGCAACATGTGCAAGATACCCTGGATATTCTCGTGTCAACCAGAACCATTTCCCGTCGATTGGTTGAACGCGGACTGCACTCACGGCATCCGTTAAGAAGACTGCTATTGACACCACAGCATAGATGCCAACGTTTAGAATGGTGCCGGACTGGAGCGATGTGGATGACAGATGGCGAAACGTCGTGTTCTCAGATGAGTCACGCTTCCATTTATCCAGTGACAGTCGCACATAGGTGTTGCCGTCGACGTGGAGACAGATCTAATCCGGCAGTAATGTGGAATGGAAAACCACACGACAATGTGGCATATGGTTTGGGGCGGCTATTGCCTAGATTCAAGGTCACCTCTAGTTCGTATTCAGGGCACCAAGATGGCCCAATGATACTTGGATAATGTACTGTGGTTGGTGGCAATCCAGTACCTTCAGGGGCTGCCTAATGCAATTGTTCAGCAGGATAACGCCCGACCACACAGTGCTTGCATCTCCCAATATGCTCTGCAAGTTATACAGATGCTTCCCTGGCCACCGTATTCTCCTTAGCTGAAACCAATCGAACATGTGTGGGATGTGATTGGACTCCGTTTGCAGATTCTGCCTCGCTCAGAAGGCGAACTGTGGCAATGGTGAAAGGGAATGGAGAGCATCCCTCAGGCCACCTCCGCAGTCTTAAGTATGCCTAGACGTGTTTCTTGTGCATCGCTGTAAATGGTGGGTCCTACATCTACTGAGCCGACGCCGTTTCGCTCTGTATTTGACTATCTTTTGAAATAAAGATCACTATTGCTGTTGCTGTCTCTCTTATTACAAATTTCATCACTTGACCACTCCTTCTGGTGTTGCATTTTCAATGTTCAGCAGCGTATCTGCCATTTTTTTAAGAATAAATTTTAAGGAAATCTGTCTAAGGAATAATTTTTTTTAATTGAAAAAAAAGAAGAATGAATTTGTCAATGAGATATATAATTAAAGTCAAATTATAAGACATTTCTCCCGGGGGGGACGCCGCGGTGCGCAATGAATTGGAATTTAATCTGTGAGCAATCCTTATTCAGGCAGATGTTTTTTTTTTGGCTTATAATTCCTACTAAATGTAGTATTTTATCTCGATGTACTGTCTTTGATATGATTAAAACAAGTCCTCGTCATTATAATTCGCTCGATAGTGAAGAAAGTGACATAGAGGTTATGAAAACGAAAAATTGATGAAAAGTCGGTTCTCGAACGCAATATAGGACTGAACAGTGGAACTTTAACTCAACAGAATTATGTCTTAATAGATATTAAAGAGAAAGTAGATACAGAAATGAAGCAACTTAAACACTACATGAAAGAACTGTTAATGAAGTAAAAAAGAAAGATAAGTTTTTTTTGTGGTTTTTGTTGGTTTGGGTGTGTTTTTGTTGAAAATTTGAATACATAAGATATACTGTTCTTATTCATAATTACGGTTTCCTATTTTTATCGCATTTCGATGCATCTACAGATTAATGATGATCTATAATCCGGAAAAATAGATAATCCGGATTAACAACTTTTGACTGTATTAGGATGACAATGCTCTATTTCACACGTAAAACTGATAAAAGCGTGGTTTGAGAAACATAAAAGTGAACTTGAAAATCTTCAGCCATATACAGCCTTATAACGTTGATATCAATAAGCCTATCTATAATACCATAGGAGAGAGAATTGGAAAACATTTTCTTCGCCAGCACTATGATGCAAAACCATTATTTTTTATAAGAATGGCTAAAAAACATCTATTGATCAAACAAGACTTGTATAGGTTATCCTCTTCCCTGAAAAAGATTGCAGCATGGGCTCTAAAAGAATGCCTACATTGTATTAATAAAGCATTACACTCTAAATGCAAGTGTTTCAGTTTGATTGCCCAAACACTGTATTTCATAACTGTTTAAAGCATGCATTTTCTCTTTTTATATACTCTTATTTAACAAATTTTGGCAGCATTTTAGCCATGATCTCTCCAGATGTTTTCGAAGAAAATATATTTTTTTTATATCTTCATTCTTCTAACATGTGGATGAAAATAAAGATCACAACTAAGTATTTAAGAAATTAAATTTATGAATCGCATAAGCTGCATACAGCATTACTGCCATTAGAAAGTTACATTACTGCCATTAGAAAGCTGCATTACTGCCATTAGAAATTACACACCTGCATATTTTATATATTGTATAATTTTCTCTTAGAAAATGAACACATTTAAAAAATAAATTATCTCTACTTGTCACTAGCTAAATGAAAAGCAAATGATGAAAAGCCAAAATTAATTCAGATAATAAATTCAGACAAAGTTGAAAACTGTCTTTCAGACAACTTTGAATGTTTGCTCTGTATTTCTATAAAACTTTTTTTTTTTTTGGCAACTCTGCAAAAATATAAATAATAATACTTGTATCATAAATATTATTTATAAATTCCATAAAAACACCACAGCATATATTACTTCTGGTCTAATTTTATGCTGTTACATAAATTTTAATGTAACCTGGTTTAACAAAAATATGCTTCACATTGTAATACAACAAGTGAATACAAATAACATTAAAATATGCTTCACATTGTAATACAACAAGTGAATACAAATAACATTATGTGCTAAAAATGTATGCAACTGAAGAAAATTCTAATTTGGTGTGTGTGTGCTTATGCACATCCACAACCACATTAGTATTACCTTTGGTGGTAAAGGAATAGCAGGCTGAACAACATCTGATGGTATAGATGATGATTTTGGACACACTGGAGTTTTTGTACGACTGCGAGGTCTAACACCACTAAAATTAAATTCATATTTTTGTGGGATACCAAAACGAACTTCAACAGAACTTGAATCAGCCTCTTTTCCTGCTGGTGAGCCAAAGCTAAATATAGATGTTGACGAGGTATTTCCAAGCACGGTGGAGCACTAGTTGTCTGTCGTTTTGTGATAGACTTTTCTAATAATCAGATTTTGAGTAGTACTCTAAACAGCAGGTGTTATTGTAGGAAAGTAGGTTTGAAACTACAGTCTCACTTCCTTTGCCAATAACGACGACAACCAAAGAAAAGTGGGGACGAGTGCTTGGTTCTTCCAAAAGAAAATCTCGATGAAGGTTGTTGAGCAAAAAACGGTGATGTCTTTCAGTACTAGAGGTACTTTGAACGATGACCAACTGAAATTTTCAAAACACCGAAGATGGAATGCTGGGGGAAGAAATGATGACCCAGGTTTTCTTTCACAGGAGCACATATCACACTGATTGTACTGAAAGACAGACTGCACGGCCATGAGCTGCGGAGGTTTAATAAATTGTAAGGTTCCGATTTACCATTTTTAAAATAAATGGGTCGTATTCGATTATTATATGCATTTTATTAAATGTTATGACGATGATGCTGAGGGACTCGCAAGACACACTTTACATCAAATATATTCCTGAATAGCAAGCTGACATTCCATGAGTTTTTATCGGTTTTTTAAAAAGTTGAAAGTGGTTTGTAAGATATAAGACACTTTTGCCGTGACAACAGAATTCTGATTTCGGGAAGTATGCAATATACAAAGGAGGATTCTTCTATTTGATTTTGGCATTTTGAGCATTTCACGAGCTTCCAACAGGCTTAAATGTCATCAAAAGCGTCTATTCCCAGACAGGTCGGATGAGATTTGGCAATTGAGGCTTTCATTTTGTCAGCTATTTATTTTAAATCATTTTGGCATTTCTGGAAACCAAAGAATCTTGGGATATTTCTTGGTTAAATTTGCAGCAAACTGTCTTTTTTAAGTCCCATCAGAAAAGTCTTGAGCAACCAAACCAAGCTTGATCATAGTGCTAGTGGTGTAAGTTTCATGTCAGGTAAGATATAATGATTAGCACCTATTTTCAGAACTTGCTCTCTTCGCATTAAAATTTTGTATTTTTTGCTATCAGTTAAAAACAATATTTTTAACTCACCAATACCCCATTCTTTCCATTCTTTGCCTTCACGGTCAAATCGGAATAACTCAGCTCGTTCCCCAAACAGTTTTTCTTCTCCTTCTCCAACAGTCTTCACATCAACCAAAGCAGGAAGTGGAACAATAGGTTTGAACTCAGCAGTTCGAACGAATTCTTCAGGAGCACCATCGGCAGCATCAATAGAAACCCTTCGCCCCTCAGCTGAAACATTAACAAATAGTGGTGCACTAGAAGTAGGAACAGTCAATTCTGCGGAGCTCTTTGAAACACTAATGCTGAAATTTGGAAAAGTAGCAACACTTTCAGCACTTTTTGAACCAAACATATCATCAGGAGTAATTGTCTGTAACATAGAGTGTATTTTTGAAATGTTATTTTCAACTCTTGCTTTTGCACTTTCTGTACTTTCAATAAACTGCACGGTAGAAGATGAAGATACAACTGCAGTTGGTGGGCTTTTAAATGAAAATCCAGAAAATGGCCAAGGTTTTGGGGCAGTAACTTCTGTTATACAACAAGTTTTTTCGTATTTTTTTCTTACAGCAAATAACATTGCTCTGCTTTTGATAACAGATTTTTTTTCTGGCATCACTGGGCTGGCAGAAAATGTAGAAACACCAAGAGTATTCTTTGAACCACTGACTGAAGTAACTTTGAACCGCTGACTAAAAGAATTTATGCTAAAAGTAAATTGATTTGCAGTTGAGTTAGTGATACTAGTTGAAACAGATATACTATTAGAACCTGCAGTAACTTGAGAACCACGTTTCTTGGTTTCACATGCAACACATAAAAGTTTATCAGCAGCATTACTAACATAACAAGTTTGACAAGTCCAAGAACTAGCTTTAGGTAAAAATGTAACTCCAAATGGCTTCTGTGTAACAGGAGATGCATTTGTTGTAGATTTGACTTCAGCCTCATTTTCTTTCGCTATCTTTAATGCTTCTTCAAAGGCAGTTTTGAATGCAGCTGCAATATTAATAGTCCTAAAGCATACGCAAAGATTTTGAAGTCTCATTCCTTCAACAGTATGAACTACTGCAAGCCAAAAGAAAACTCTTTCAGAGTTTTTTAAACCATGTAATTCCATATTAGAAGTAAAATAATGATCAGCACATAAGTTTGATACCTATTAAAAAAAAAAAAGCATGAATTTATAAAAATAAGAATTATATAAAATTCATACAATATTCACAGATTTATATACATTATAGTTTAACATATGTTTAGTTCAGTGAAACTAGATAAAGTAGAAAAGCACGATCTAATTGCAGAATGACAATTTTTTAAATTTAGTTATCTTCCTGCTATAGACAAAACTTTTATGCGCACTGAAACAATGCAAAGCACATAAATACCTTTGAAAATGCAAATGTCAAATTCACAATAACTAATTTTATTTTACACACAAACATGGCTGTCTCTCGTGGTGCCTACACGTCATTAACGATTGGTCACGGAGAATATTACCTTCCTCCAGAGTGATTAGGGTCATGCAAGTGTAAACGGTAATCCCTTCGAGTGTGGCAGGGGACCCTAGAGGTACTGTCAAGTTCGACTCGGGCTTTACATTGCTAGACTTTTTTTTTAGATAATTGTGGTGCTGAGATATCTATTCATATCCTATGAAGCACAAATTAAAATTATGATAATATCAGTTGTTCATTAAGTAACATCAGCTTGTTCATTAGATATGTGCAAAAAATCCTTTCAACATGAAATTTTAGCCCACCAGTAAAATCCCTGACCACTAGTAGCTCCATCCAAGGTTCGAATCCCACAAACAGGCTGGCTGCATGGGCGCTTTCCCATGTGTAACATGTTAATTTGAGACAGTTTCCGTAGAAAGTTCTCCAGGAAGACATCCCTCCCTTCCAGGTAGTACCTTAGGGTGGAACACATAAATAATAATAACATTAAATGTTAGCAAACCTATAATAAATTTTGAAAATATTGCCCGTTTTCTTGCTTGAGATTGCAGTTCCCCCTTTCTGCTTGAGACTTGATATATTTCTTTTTAAATAAAAGCAAAAATTGCCCAATTAATATTTATTTATTTTTGAAGAAAATTGTTTGTTTTACAATATGTGAAAATTTCAAAACTTTATATCGGATACTTTTTTATGTTGAAATTTTAAAATCAGACCGTCAGGAATAAACCAAGCGGTTATTGAAAACTCCCCCAAAATTCAGAAAATAAATTAAGATTTTCTTACTAGTTTTATTTAACAAATTTTTTACGCACTATCCAAGGTAAAATTCTAAGACTCTTAATTTATTTGCTGTTAAAAGTAGGCATGTGAAACATAATTTAAATATTAATTTAAACCTTCCAAATGAAAAAATGAAAAAAATTGGTTCACAACATTGGACTCTTGGCAATAAAGATAGTGTGTACAAAATTTGAGTTCGATAACTTATCCAGGAATAGATTGAAACTCAATGACAAAATTGAGAACATAGTGGAACACTGTAAGTGAACTAAAGGAAAGGTTACAAAATTCAGGAGGTACACTTTACACACACACACAAAAAGAGGGGGCAGTTCTATATCTCCCGTTCTACTGGGCCGATTGACGAAATTTAGCTTGCGTTTTTCATGTCTCGAAAGCGCGACTTAGGATATAGATTAGATGTATATATTGTTCTAATATAGATGTTTTTACACAAAATCTGACTTTTTCTGAAATAACATACCCCTTTTCTTCCCCATATTTTGATTATATTATTAAAAATATACCAAAGTGGCAAATTTTGTAAAAATGGCCCGAGTAGTTTTCAAAAAATTAGCTCTCAAATTTTAGTTCCTCAATGTTAATTTTAATTTGGTACATATTTATTATTATCACTTTATTACTACTTTTTTAAATTTATTTGGTTCCTTCTTTCGCAGTTCGAAATTTAGGTTCAATCCAAATAAAATTTGCAGATATTTTCCGATTTATTTTTTTAATTTGCAATTTTTTTTAATTTTTCGAAAAATTTTTGAATTACATCTTATAAAATTTTTACCATCACTTTAAAGTAGATGCATTTCTAATCATAGCTGCTAAAATTAGTTTTTATTCAAAATTTTAAAAGATATACTTGAATCAGCACACATATTGGTGTGTTTCGAAATTTGGCATATTTATTACAAGTGATAATAATGCCAAATGGGCTTTATGCATTTCGTTAAATTTATTTGAAAGAAGGAACGATGCACCTTTTTTTACACTCGTGCACAATGAAAACAAGGGAAAGGAAAATATGTTACTATAAATTACGAATTTTGCAAAGTGAATTTTTCTGGGCGAAAACTGCAAATAGTGCGCCAAGATAAATTTATAAATTACTCACTAAGTTTCTGATCAAATTTTACAAAATTTGATATTTGAACATAATTTGAGTCGTAGAATCAAAATATGGAAAAAAAAATCACTACTTTCTTTCAGAAAAAGTTCCGATTCTGTGTCAAGATACCTACCTACCTATGTTAGACCAATGCTGTACATAAATCTAATACATATTTTAAGTCGTGCTTTCGAGACATGTAAAATGCATGTTAAGTTTCGTCAATCGGCCTAGGAACAGGATATATATAACTGTTCCTCCCTCTTTTTTGTGCACATGGTACATATTGTGGCTTTTGGCTCTTAATACATAGCTTAAAATGAAAGACTAGATAAAACTGACAGAAATTTAACCTCTGAAGAACTAGATCACAATAAAAAAATTATATATAATAATAGATTATACTATAACATACACTTTATATAATAAAAATACACTGACTATTAAGGATTAGTAAAAAATTTTAGAAGCAATAATTGTTTTACGCCAGCTGCAGTTACAGAACTTATGCTAATCACGCATTTTGTAAATGCAATTAACAGCAGTTAATTTAAGGTTTGGTTTATTTGATTATGGAAAAGCATCGAGGGCTATCTCGTCTGAGGGGAGGGTTGCTTCATGGAGGATTTCCTAAGGGAAACTGGCTCGTATATACGTTATGCATAAGGAAAACCAGAAAAATGGCCAGCCAGTTCGCGGGATTTGAACCTTGGACTGATCTACCAGCTTTTACCGACTTCACCACTCGGCCACTGGTTTGCATAGTTAATTTAAGAAATATTAATTCAACAAGATTTTTTAATATATGATTTTTTAATATAATAACTGAAAGATGAAGTACGTTGCTACATGAAGATATGCACCAGGAGAACTTCATGTTTATGAAGTGAAGCAATGACAACTGACTGTATATAACTGGAGTTGTAAGAAAACAAATCCAATCTGAAAGGTAATTTCACAAACTCTGAATGATTTGAAAGGGAACCAGTCCAAGTTGCAATAGTTCAACACTGTGAGCTAAGGACAAGCGTTAATAAGCATTAAGTTAATAAGAAGCAGCGTTTAAGCTGAAATGCTTTTAAAATACACCTTTGACTGTTCACCAAGTTCTGGTTATTTATAGTGACGTAGGATCTGCAGAGCAAAAAAAATTCAGGAAAACTCATTATGGCCTCACCAACAGAACATGTCCGGGAGAACACTGTAATTCCACATGTTCTCCTTCCCTTCAGGACAGAAGTACGATACAAAGTTGACGAAATCCAGGTGGTGCTTATTTCGGCTCGAGGATTTTTGAAGCAGGAAAAAGTAAAAATCAACTGCACCCTCAATGGGACTCAAATCAAGCATCCTTAAACTACTGGCTACACGTGCTACTACTTACACAAGGCAAGTGCAATACACGGTTGGGGGCCAAATCCAGGCTATGTCCTGATTTTGAATGGATCATGACGACTTTTCCAAACATTATCGAATCTGGTCCATTAACAGTTTAAATATTAACAAACACTTGTAATCGCAATGCATAATTATGTAAAACTTTTTATTTTCACGGTTTTTTACTTGTTTTTTTAACTTTTTAATCTAATTTTCACTTTTTTTTCACCCAGAGGCCGTTTAGAAGAGCTATTAATTTCGTTTTGGCATTTTGAGTCAAAAACTTAAATGCCCGTTTAACTTTTCAGATTGTTGCTGCCAAATATTATCGCCCTGTGTTATATTTAAGAAATTAAATGATGAAGAATCTGCATAAATGTATGTATGTTTCTTGCAGTGTGATAAAAAAAACCAGAGCCGTCAAATTTTGAATAACGTAATCCTCCACCGAATATTGGCACATTTCATATTTTGGCATGAGCAATATTTCATATTTTATAACACTTTAATGAATTTTTTATAGCAAACTCAACAATTTCAAAGCGAGCAAGGGCAACACTGTACTGAAAAAAGAAAAATCTTTATGCTCAATGTGATATGTATATCAGAAATTCTAAAGATAACGCTCATTTTAAAATTATTTTGCGATATTGCTGTCAAATTGAATTTTTATGGTTTAAGTGCGAAGAACATGATATTTAATAAATAAAGGTAACACACAAAATGTTAAAAATGTCTCTTTAGGTGTAATGTAAAATCTGAAAGCTTTATATATATATATATATATTTAAATTGCATCTTAACCGCCGTCACCTCCCATTGGTGGGTGGTCGTGGCTTTGTTAGTTGTCTGACTCTTCTGCTGCAACCAGTTTGATAACGCATGATTGCATGATTTTACTAGATTTGACCTAGATTGGAGAAAGCTAAACAGAATACCCTACCGAGGGGGGCTTTCTCAATGATTGGATCAAACATAAGAGCTGATGCCCAAATAAAATCAGAGTTAGCTGATAACAAAATCGATACCGAAGATTTGTCTGTATTTCATTACATTACATACAAATAAAACATATGCAGAATCAATCAACTTTGCCCATGTGATGAGGTATGATAATTTCCTGCTTAAATTTCCTTACCTCGGGTGTGCAGGACCACCATCAGTTGCAAGAATTTCTGTCTGACATTCATTCCAAGCATGAAGATCTCACATTTTACTGCAAAGTGCGTTGGCTAAGTAAGAGGAAAATATTGAAGCGTTTTTATAATTTGAAAGATGAAGTATTTCTTTTCTTGGATATGAAAGTAAAATCTATTCGAAAGCTAGAAAGCCAACCCTGGTTGTGTAATTCTGCATTCATTGCCGACATTACAACATACCTCAAAGAACTCAATAATAAGTTACAAACTCAAGAATAGT